AAGTGATCTCTTGTACCACTGACTAAATTAAATGAATACAATTTATTTTTATCATCAATGGAATTCTTAAGGCATAGATTGTTGCTAATAATGATAATGAAAGCATGTCCCTTAGACTCAAAACCATGAGAAATGCCATTGACATCAATTCACTTCACTTTGTATTTCCTACTGATTCACGGTGTAAAGCGTAAGTTTTCTCTGTATACATGAAAAAAGAAGACGTAAGTATGCTATGTATAAGCACAAAAAAGAGAGACTTGTCTCCCACAACATCACGACTTCGATTCATGATGTGAGCGATTCTCTGAACGGTCCATGTTGTGTTGTCTAACTGCATCATAGTTTGCGTGAGAAGATTTCTTGACTGTGGCGGGGCTGCAATAACGGGCTCCCCAATTCGGATATTCGAACGTGGGGAGTGCGACATTAACTGCTCGTGATGTGTTGTCTAACTGTGTCATTTCGTGTGGGGAGATTTCTTGAGGGAGTGGAGAAAATCTTAGTGTATGAATACTTGTTGAACAAGAGCTTGGACACTTTTCTTTTTCGTGGGTTTCGCTCTCTAAAGAATTTGTATCCATTTTCTTATGGGGAAAACAAAATCTAGTACTCGAACTAGAATTTCTGTCTGTCGGCTACCTTGCTTGGACTCAAGAAAGAAGGCGGAACTGAGCTGGGACATACACTTCCACATCATCCAGGGGGTTGCTAGATGACTCATGAGCCTCCATCGCGATTCCTGTCTTAGGATTATTCATCGAGGCTTAAAAGTGAGCAAATTCCTCTTGAATGAAAAGATGATGCCGAAAATTTCTGATTTTGGGCTTGCAGGACGTTTGAAGGCACCCGAGTCTTGGTAAATACACACAAAGTTGCCCGAACACTGTAAGTTTTCTTTCATAGTCTAAGACCATGACTCAGTTAAGCAAAATTTTATCTAGCTGGGACATTATCAGTATAATCTGTTCGCAGTTCACCTTTCTGGCCCTTATCCTTTCTTAGTTAAGGATTTTCTAACTTTTGAAGTGCATTCCACAAATCTTCGGTTCAGGCCTTATAGTCTTATTATAATTATGACATTCTATTGAAGAGAATTTGAAATGTTTAAATTATGCAGTGACTACATGTCTCCATGGGTAGAATATTTTCTGAGAAATCCGATGGCTGCTCCTAGAGATTGTCAGCAGCAAGAAAAACACTAGCTTAGATTACCGCGGACAACATCTCAATCTATCTCCTCATTTTTGTAAGAGCAACATCTATCTCACAACTAATATCTCTCCTTTTTGGATATTGGCAGTCCCTACCTACTCCTAAGGAAAATCTAACAATCCTAGCATTCTTACAGGCTGAGGCGATTGTGGAGTGGAGGTAGAGAAGTGGAACTAATGGACGAGGTGATTGCGGATGCCTTTCCACCATCAGAGGTGATTCGATGCATTCACGTGGGGCTTCTCCGCATGCCGGACTACGCTGTGGATAGGCTCAACATGTAACAAGTGGGTCTGATGCTAAGCGGCGAATCGGATCTTCCTCCACCGAAACAACCTACATTTACCTTTCAAAGCTTAACAGCTCATGAAATCCAGTCATCACAACAAGAAAGCAATTGGTCCACAAAAGCTATCACTAACACTGCCCTTGAAGGCAGATCATCACATGCCGTCTTCTGTAAAATTAGTATCCATGTATAAATTAGACTGGCTTTCATCTGCATTTTGTACCAAAGGATGAACTGACAGTTCGGTTTAGTGTGGAATTTGCCATTTAAATAGCCAAAGTGGCTTTGGTTTGTAGCTGTCTAATAGACTGATGTAATAAACTATGTGAATCTAAAAACCCAACAGATGAGTGAGTTAGCGCAGATAGTTCAAGCAGAACAACCTTGTAAGCACCACTAGTCCACTTCAAGTGCATCGTAGAAACGTAAACACCTCTTAATCCTGTCAAGATCATCATCAGCAGACATCAACTACATTTACAAACTTTTCCTGAAGCATTTCGTGAAAAATCCAGAAAAGCAACAATCGTTGCTTCATTTCAATGTACCCTCGATGTGAAAGCGCCATCACTCAAATGCTGTGAGTCGAACGAACCTCTGAAGACGCAGGGGAGCGATTATTCGGTTCCGAGACATCCAAACAACCCGATTTGTCGAATGGTTAGCCTCGTCGAAAGGTGTTTCCATCGGCTGAACTTCATCTGGAGTTGAAGTCGTGGTGATCGTCATGGGAGACGATCGCCGATCTCTTGGCTAAACTGAGAAACAGGGGAGATCGATGAGAATGCTGAAGCGAAGGGGTTCTGGCTTCTGGGTGGGCAAATCATCATCGCATGAACCCGGGCACACGTAAACGCATCTATCCTGATCGTGGATCACGTAGGCCCACACAATCATGGACCCGGAAGAGCTTCTCTCGCGGGCGTCACGGCCTGGTCAGCTCCCCATCGTCTCGTCGACGAAGAGGCGATTATCGTTCTCGCTCACGAGTAGCGCACATCAACTGACTCGAGCTTGCAGCGTTCGTTCAGAGTAAATTTACTGTTAAATCAGAGTAATGATGCAGCTCGCTGAACATATCGAGGCTAGATATACTAGGCTCGATCGATGGCATAGCCTAAATCACCAAAAAAAAAAAAATTGGCTCAATCGATTTGGTTTGGTCTAGGATGTTCCAGGTCAAAAAGCCGATTAAAAAGAGAAGGATTGTTCACTTACAAAGAATTTTGAAATTCATCAATTAATCAACATGAAGTCATATGTAAATGTCGCCTAAACCTCGATTTTAAGAGGACATAAGTTTTGATCAATATAGAGTTAGGACTCCCGCAAACGCAATCAAATAAGTTTTTAAGCTAATACGAAAATTTGTTTAAGGTTCTATGATCGGAAGTAACTCAGACAATTTAAGTGGCTTAGATGTACTCAGTCTCCAAGTTTGGTTTGATAGAAATCCAAGCAATTGAAAGTTTAGGGACATATTGCATATTAGACATTTCAATAATAACATTGCGCATTAAAGAAACATCGAACGACTGTTCGTGTCATCATCTCATGTAACGGAAGAAGTTTTTGGGGATCACTTACACTTACAATCACTTGAAACTGTTCTAACCGAAATCGCACGGTCTTAAACAGTTGATTACGCAACACTTCGATCTCGTCCGTTGTATGGCTTAAACAGATAAGCAAGGTCGAATTTGTCACACCTCGAAACCTACCATAATTGGGGGATGACATGGCCGTCTTTCCACCCGAAGCCTCAAACCACAACCAAAGAACAAATTACCAAAAATCCTCGTTGATATCGTTCTCGCTCTATTGGCTACTAACCAAGGAATCTGAAAAGATTTGGGAAATTGAGCAACCACAGCTAAGTGAGTAGTACATATATCTTCTAAACAGATCGAGTAGACACTATGCATAAATATAAAATAATACCAAAAGCACATACTTCAATCCAAATATATACGAGTTATTTCATTTTAACAAGGCGTACAAATAAGAAATACTCGTTTAAACCACCATCTTAAATCAAAGATCAATGGTCGAGTTCATTGATCAATCTCTATTACAAACCACGTCAATGATCCATTCCATTGATTGATATCAAATCACACATCAATGATTTATTCCATTAATAAATCTCATATCATATCACACATCGATGGTCTATTCTATCGACCAATCTATTGTTCAATACCAAACCATGGTCACGACATAACGTTTTGTGATAAGACGATCAAGATTCCCCTTTTGGCAATGTCTCCACCTACAAAGCCGATGGCTCGGTCCAAAAGGATATCCTAACCCGTATGCATACCCCGAAACCCTACCCGAGTTCACAACCATATTTAGCATCAAACAATCATCCTCCAATAATCCACAATTCCAAATCAATAAATCATTTCATAAATCATAATATGTTTCCCAAACTATTTCGTAATCCATTTCATAAATCATAATATGTTCTCATAACCATTTCATAATCTATTTCATATATCATGTTCACCAAGTAAAATATATACGTGAACTATCACGGCACATTTCATAATATATTTTTCAAATCATTCTCAAATTATTTTCAAATATTAAAAGGTAGTAATTGCCCAATCCGGACTTATGCAACAAACATACTTTAATAACTTGTACGATACTCAAATCATTATCACTTTTAAAATATGAGTTTACAGATCCATAGAAGAGATAGTACCACTTACCTAGAAATGCCTATGATCAAACAATAAATATTACTCGAACCGTCGAACTCGCAATCCTATCAAGTAAGCGAGAAATAATGTTAAAATCGAGTAAACTACTACCTCAACTACGACTCGGCTAAACTACGCTTAGACACTAACATAATGATTAAAAGGTGCCCACAAATCACTCATCCAAAGCAATTATTCAAAATCGATCGCAACGCGGAGCTTGAGCGCGAAACTTGATTGCGCCATAACTTTATCCACTGAACTCTATTCCAAGTGAGCTTACAGGAAAAAAAAAAATCTTTTGAAGCACTAGAAGACCCACAACCTGGCCGTCCTAAAATCGAGCAAAAACCGACGAACTTCAGTCCAAAAGTTGCCAGTCGAACACTGTTCATCACTCATGGTCAACTTCAAAATTTTGTTTCGGGCAAACCGTAAGTCCAAATCGAGATCCGTTAAATCTCACGGTTCCACAGCACCCTAAACTATCATTTATATATATATATACGCAGATCATTAATTCCTTAATTGAATCTCGTAGTTCAAAATCCACAAATTCCCAAATTTGTGCTCTAATTTAAATATTACTCCGATTAGACGAACGAGGGGTGCGAACACTTACCGGACGTTGCTAATCAATGGCGAGGGGTCCATGAGAGAGTGCTCCGCTTCTTTCTTCCTCTTTCCCTCTCTCCTTTTCTTTTCTTTCTCGGCGAGCGTCTCTTTCTTTTCCTGTTACTGTGCGTGCTCTTGGTCTTAAAATGAGCCGAGCATCCAGTGTTGCTTTCTTTGACTTTTCAACCTCTTTCTTTCTTTTTTTTTTTTGCTTGGTCAAAATATCCAAATAGTACAGAATTTGCGGAGGAGGATGATTCGGGTGTGTACTCAGAGTCTGCGTAGAATTTGAACAATCCCAACGTTTAATAGTCAATGAAAATGTGCTCCAGCGAAGACAACGGTTCTTGATCAAAAGGAGGTTGAACTCAACAGAAAATCTTGTTCATCTGTTCTTGATCCGCCGAAAGTGCAGAATCAACCGACCCGCCGAGCTCGTATGGCTCATTCAGTCAATCTTATTATGCGACTTATGATGGCATCGTGCTCTTGCTTGGTCTTCTTCTTCCTACTTCCGGCAAGACATATAGCCAGCGGCGCGGTTCACAATATTACTACGTCGGAGCCGCTCTTTCAGAACCAAACTCTCGTGTCCTCAGGCCAAACGTTCGATCTTGGGTTCTTCACGCCGGATGGGTCAAAAAATCAGTATGTTGGCATATGGTTCAAGAACTTGACGCCTTCTAAAATCGTGTGGGTTGCCAATCGGGATTCGCCGCTCGCGTCGGCAGATCGGTCTGCGAAATTATCGATAGGCAGTGATGGGAATTTGAAGCTCGTGGATGGACAACAGAACATAGTTTGGTCCACCAATGTTTCTGTCCAGTCAAATTATACAGCAGCAATGCTTTCAGATGGTGGAAACTTTGTTCTACAAGACAGAAATTCTATTGAATTATGGGCAAGCTTTGATGATCCAACTGATACAATTCTACTAAACATGAAGATAGGACTAAACGCTAGAACCGGAGAGAGACGGTATTTAGTTTCCTGGAAAAACAACAACGATCCATCGTCTGGAAATTTCACCACTGGGATTACGTCGGAGACTCCGCCGCAACTTTTCACTTGGAATGGCTCGACCTCTTATTGGAGAAGTGGACCATGGGATAAATCGACATTCAGCGGCATACCAGAAATGAAATCCTCATACTATAGCGGGTTCGATCTCAAGCAAGATCCTCAGCAGGGAACCACTTATTACTCTGTCGATTCTAATAACAACTCTTTTCTTGCTTATGGCTTCATTTCACCCGAAGGAATTCTAGCAGTAATGATATGGGATTATGGATCCGAGAGTTGGTTGAAAAATTGGGCAGCACCGAGCAACAGTTGCGAAGTTTATGGAACTTGCGGTCCTTTTGGCGTCTGCAACGCCCTTAACTCTCCTATCTGCCGTTGTGTAAAGGGGTTTATGCCGAGAGTGAAAGAAGAATGGAGCAAAAGGAATTGGACCAGGGGGTGCATTAGAGAAACAGATTTGGACTGTCAGAACACAAGCAGGTCGGCTTTGACGCAGGTGAAGAAAGATGTCTTTGTACCCATGAACCAGATGAAAGTGCCTGATTCTGCGGAATATTTATCAAAGATTAAAGATGTAGGGGGATGCCAAAGCTGGTGCATGAATAATTGTTCTTGCTTGGCTTATTCGTATATCCACCCAGTAGGGTGTTTGGTCTGGGCTAAAGATCTCATCGATTCAGAGGAGTTTTCAACAGATGGGCAGGATGTATATATTTGGGTCGCACATTACAATACAGGTATAAGAAGTTTCATTACGAGTTTCATTTGAACTTTATCACACATCTTCAATTCTTTTCTCGTGTCAGGCATGTCGACACAAGCAAAACTTATCATCAGCATAAGTACCATGCTTGGCATCGTGTCTGTAGGAACTGCTATTTTTGGTCTCTGGAAGTGGAGAGCCAGTAAAAGAGGTACAAGTAGCTCATGTCCAATGCTTAATTTTACATTAAATGTAATCTAGAAACTTTACCAAAATCCTTAAGGCTCTTGACACTCCAGGTATAACTGATAAAACAGGAGAAATGTCTCTTGGAAATGCATGGAAAGATCAGCTGAAGCAAGACGATGCATCCGAATTTACACTGTTCAGTTTTAGTAGCTTACTTCTTGCAACTAACAACTTTGATGCAACAAATAAACTTGGCCAAGGAGGGTTTGGACCCGTTTATAAGGTAAAAGCCTTCTCTAAAATGTTCGTTGAAGGAAATTTTATGACATTATCCAAGGTCTGACAGGTCTCTGAGATTGGAAACAGGGAATGCTGAATAATGGAAAGAAGATAGCTGTCAAAAGACTTTCCAGTAGCTCAGGCCAAGGCATGGAGGAGTTTAAGAATGAGATCGTTCTAATATCGAAACTTCAGCGTCGAAATCTGGTCAGACTCATGGGTTGCTGCATCGAAGGAGAGGAGAAGATTTTAGTATACGAATACTTGTCAAACAAAAGCTTAGACTCCTTTCTATTTGGTTGGTCTCACTCTTTTCAAGTCATACTTGTGCTGATGGAAAAAATATATATATATATATAGTAGTGAGTTACGGTCACGAATTCTTTTCTTTTTCTTCCTTGCTCAGATTCAAAAAGGAAAGCAGAACTCAACTGGGATACACGTTTCCGCATCATTCAAGGGATCGCGAGTGGGCTTCTGTATCTGCATCGCGATTCTTGCCTTCGCGTTATCCATCGAGATTTGAAGGCAAGCAATATTCTCATGGATGAGAAAATGAACCCAAAAATTTCGGACTTTGGGCTGGCACGGATCTTTGAAGGCACTCAAGTTTTGCTAAATACTCACAAAGTTGTAGGAACACTGTTAGTTTTCAAGCCTTCTTGCTGGAATTATCAAGTCAATTAGGAAACTCTACAACACAATTACGAAACTCTATAACTTGATTGATTAACATGAAAATCAATTGCAGAGGATACATGTCTCCTGAGTACGCCATGGGAGGGATATTTTCTGAGAAATCCGATATCTATAGCTTTGGGGTGTTGCTACTTGAGATCATCGCTGGCAAAAAGAACACAAGCTTTTACTACCGTGGCCAGCATTTCAATCCAGTGTAAGGCCGATTCCAGGGAGAATCGGGTAGGTTTACAGGTTCAAAACCTAGCAACCAATCATGTTCGGTTCAGTCCCTAAGGTTGAGCCTTGAACCCATTTGTTCTACCAAAGAACCAAATGGACCAAAGCTAATTTCCCGGAAGAACTGATTTTGAACTGGCTTGAGCTAGTGAGCAAAACAGTCTCCACTGCACTACAAATGAGGCAACTTGTGACAACGCAGTCCGATGAGGGCGGGGAGTGGTCATTGGGGTTCGAGGCCTGGACAAAGAGCGGCTCCTAGCAGGCTTCTAGGATGGCGAAGGGGGCACGTCTCTTGTCCCACATCGCCTAGGGAGGGAGCATTGGGCTTGTTTATAAAGACTTGGGAAGCCTTAACTTGCAAGAGGCCTTTTCTAGGGGTAGTATGGACTGCCTTTGGAGGAACAAAACCGTGAGGACTTGGTGTCCAAAGCAGATAATATCTTGCGAGTGGGACCCAGGTCGTTGCACAACTAGTGTGTTGTTTTGTTAGCTATAAATAGGCAATATGATCTGACTGTGATTGGTACATTGGCATAACTAGCAAGCTTCAAAATTTCTTTGGACCAATAATATGACCGGCAACTTATTTGCCTGGTAATTCTTAGGTCAGTTGACAACTAAGTAATGTGTTTATCAATGCGAAACCTAATTGTTGGCTTTGAAATTTAGCATCTCGGACAAAGTTCTACCAATCAATTCTTGGAAAAGGCATTCCAATGGAAAATTGCATAAGATCATTTGCTGAAGACCACCTACCAATTGGTTTGCAGAAAAACATAAGCTGTGAAAGTGTCAGGATAATGAAAAAAAATTTCACTCGTTGGCTTTAAGTCGAGTTATTCTCATGAGTATTGTTTCGTCGGTTTGTTACTCCGTTGAAAAATCTTTCACCGAACGCTGCGTTTCGGATTTTATTAGAGGAGACCGGTGTCTTGAGTCAAGCTTGGACAGAGAATGTCAAATGCATTTATTGATCTCAATTTAGATCTTACACCCTGACTCGATATGATGTCAAACTCGACAATACTAACTATGCAACGACAACTCGCAAATATTGAAGTTAAGCTATGCCGGAATTTAATCAATGACACAACTTCAAAGTACGTCAGAATTTAATCAATGACGTAACTTGAATGAATACGGCTGGAATTTAATCAACAGCTATACTCTAAACACAGCACCGGAATTTAATCGACGACACTGAGCTAGTGGCACAACACTGGAATTTAATCAACAATGCTGAACCTGATAAAGATCCTCGTCGGAATTGAATCTACGACACGGAATCTGAAGACTATGACTAAAACTACTCCTAATGTGCTTAAGGATAAAGGTTAAATAAGAGATGTGTTGTGTTGTTGAAGAAGGGGTCCCTTCTACGTTGGAAGTCCTTGAGTATTTATAGAGCAGCTTGATAACCGTTCCTTGAAAGTCGTTTTCCACTTCCTTACGTTTCGTGCTTTAACTGTTTCCTGACTTGTCGATATTGTTTACGCTCCTTGGACATCACGTAGTAGCTAATTGTCTTCCACGTGTCATTTTATTTCTTGTTATCCTTGACGCCCACGGTCACGTCTTTACCTTTTGACACGTGTAAATGAATTTCTCACCACGTATTACCATGATTTTGCGCAAAACTCGTGATTCTGAACTTTGTCGACGTCACGTGCAAAGCTCGTGATCCGGGACTTGTCGACGTTACGTGCAGGGCTTAGATTTGTCGACATCACGTGCAAAGCTAGTGATTTTAAACTTGTCGACACCTTTATGACGTGTCCTGTCGACAACTGCCTCTGGGCCTGACTCACGGCCTTTCTCATATTTTTGCCATATGGCCGTACTTTATATCTTCTGTAACTTGTGGATGGCCCATTCCCACCAAGGGTAATTTTGAGTGTCAACATATGCCCCCTTTTGAAAGGAATAAATTTGAATTTATTTCTTTTAAATGTGTACCTTGTCTGTGTACGAATCCCTAGGCGATGATCGTGCCTTTCTGTCCTTTGACGCCCTTTCGAGCAGTCTCTACGAATTCCTCATCCAATATCCATTAGATACATAACCTCGTATCTTCCCCGAAAAGTTTTGGCTTTTCTAATCGTCTTCTCCATCTTTTATCCTTGTAAAAACCTTGTTTCATCGTCGCGTCTTCTTCTTTCAACCCTAAAAATCGTTTCTTGAACCTTTTTTATCGTTTCCCATGGCGTCCAAAAAGTCCGAATATTCATCCAGCGATTATATCGCAGCTTTTGATAAGTTTAAAGACAATCTGCATGATGGTAATTGCTTTTTTCATTTACTGAAAGCTGTCGAGGGTGAATACAACTGTTTCTCTCTGGGTCCCAGTTTCATGGACCATCTCAATATACCTGTGAATCTCCAATTCCACTTCCCGTATAAACACAGTGAGACCTTGGCACTGCAACATTCTTCTATTACGGATGTGTGGTCCATTAGGTCTTCTCGATTTCGAGGTTTCCCTTCTTACGAAGAGGATTTTCACAAATGATTTATTCAGCTAAAGGCTGACCAAGAAACTGGACTTTTATGGACAGCTGCTGGAATCGACATCGCTCTTGAGGTCGAGTATGTCATCTTATGACCTAGAACGTGGATTATTGGGCTCCGCCATCACTTTCGTCCTCTTCCAAAGAACTGTTTTTTTTCCCTTGGGGCCACATGTCCATCACTATGCTCGATGTCTTTGCCATAGCGGGCTTTGAATTAGTTGGTCATGCGGTCGAGGATTTGCCCGTACTGTCTACTCCCTTAATCTCTGATGACACCTTGACATATAGCAATTTCCTGTCCCGATTTTACCGAGCTTCGGGTCTTGTTACTCAAGATGAGCGTCTCTTCTTCTTACTCTTTTGGTTATCAAATATGTGTTCTACAGTCCTGCCCTTAAAGTTTGCAAGGACTATCTGCAAATTGCCGCGGCCCTAGCCACGGGACAACGTCTTGCCTTGGCCCCTCTCATTCTTGCAGTTTTGTATAGAGGCTTCTCCCACGCCTCTCGAGCAATGAAGTTCGGGGACTCTGGAACCATTTCAGGCGCTTTTTGGATACTTCAGGCATGGATGGCTTTGTATTTCCCTTCTCTTTTTGGTAAAAACACTCGTCATCTTCCCCATCTATCTATGCAAGGGTATAGACAACCTATACCTTTACCTCTGAGCTGTCGATTGCTGAGTCGTTCTCCTCGACATGTTTCTTCTTTAGCGCCTCCTTTTGTCTTTTATCTTCGGATTTTTCTTGAACTGAATCATGACCAAGTCATTTTCTTTAAGTATGGTCATGGAGAATTTGATTATTTGTTCGATCCAGCTCGATTCAACCTCTATAGGCTTTTTTGGACTTGTGCTTTGTCTGCAGTAGATCTTCCCATATGGACTTCATTGAAGGGTCGATTCTATCCTGGGTTTGAGATATATTCTCCGCAATATTGTGCTAGGCAATTTGGACTCTAGCAAGCAATTCCCATGCCAATTCCTTATTCAATAGGCTTCTCGGAAGGAACCAAGAAAAAAGAATATTCTCTCAAGAATCGAAGCCCGCTTCTCTGTTGTATTAAAATTGCCAACGCAATGCGTACCCATTATAGTGCGGACCTCTCTAATGTTTTCAGAGCCCGTCCAGGACACCTTCCTGAATGGCAGACTTGGTGGTATTCCTTTGCATTTGAAAGTACATACGAAGAGGCTCTCCGGTCTGCAATTGGTCGTGTAAAGCGGAGTGGTCCTAAGAAACCGATTGCTCAAGGTATAGACATCATCACTCTGTGTTCCTATTCAATTTCACTCTGGCGCATCTTCTAACCTTCCATCTCTTGATTTAGAAACAGAAGAAGACTCTGATGCAGAGGATGTCGACACTGCAGAAAATCCTGCTGATGGTAAATCTCTGTCTTTCCCTGTGCTAGCTCACTTTGTCCTTCTTTGTGTTAGTTGGTTACTTATAAGGTCTTACTCCCTTTTGGATTGTCTCTGGGATAAATGAAGAGGAGACATTGGAGGAGATGGTATCATTATTGAAAAGGAAAAGGAAAAGATCTACTCCTCCTTAGCCAAGTCATTCTGAAGTTTGACTCGTAAAGACTGAATCATAATTTCGACAGGGAGGACTGCTTCTTGTCCATAAGTAAGCATATATGGGCTAGTTCCGATGGCAGTCTTTTTAAACGTTCTATAGGCCCATAATACAGTCGACAACAACACATCCCACTCTTTGGGATTATCCTCCAGATGTCGTTTAATTAATGCAATGATAGCTTTGTTGGAGGCTTCAGTTTGACCATTGGCTTGGGCATAATAAGGAGTTGAATGAATCATTTTAATGCCTCTAGACTTGGCGAAACTAATCACCTCCTGCCCAGTAAAAACCGTGTTTTGGTCCGTAGTTATAGATTTTGGAATGCCAAATCGATGAATAATACGCTCTTCGATGAACTCCTTCACTGTTTTTTACGTTATACTCTTATACGAAGTTGCTTCAACCCATTTGGTGAATTAATCGGTAGCAACCAGAATAAAGCTGTGTTTTCTTGACGTTATATCCATAGCCCAGCCCCTAAATGGCCAAGGTTTAATAATGGGTTTCATTATGGTTGCAGGAACATGCGCTGAATAGGTCCATACCTTTGGCAGGCTTCACACCCCTTAGCATAACTTATGCAGTCTTGGGTAATAGTCGGCAAAAAATAACCATGTCGTCGTAGTAACCACTTCATTTTTATCCCTGATTGATGGGCCCCGCATATGCCTTCATGAACCTCAGCCATTGCTATCACAGATTCTTGTCGTCCCAAACATTTGAGCAATAACCCATCCACAGTCTTCCGATATAACTCGTTCCCAATCATTAAATAATTGAAGGCTTTTCTTTTGAAATTTTTATCAGTAGAGACTGGGTTATTGAGATACTCTATAAATGGGGCTCTCCAATCTTGGACTACCATCTTGTCG